CCTCCAAGAGAGGTAATTACTTCCTCCTCTGTTCATTCAACAAGTAACTTTTTAGCCAATCATGCTTTTAAGGTCTTAGAAGTAATAGTTTTAAAAATGAAGAATTCTAAGTTAATAATCATTTTTATATAACTGATATCTGAAAACAGACAGTGACCGATCTCTTTGTTGTTAACAGGCCTTTTTTTTTTTTTTTTTTTTTTTTTTACAGTTTTATTTATTCCTCCTCCTTTTTTTGTTTTTTCCCCAAAGCCCCACTAGATAGTTCTGTGTCATAGTTGCACATCCTTCTAGTTGCTGTATGTGGGACGCGGCCTCAGCATGGCCGGAGAAGCGGTGCGTGAGTGCGTGCCCGGGATCTGAACCCGGGCCACCAGGTTAAGTGCCTGCGCACTTAACCGCTAAGCCACAGGGCCGGCCCTAGGCCATGTTTAAAGAATATAAAATACATACTTAATTCCTCTAATGTTCAAGAATATTTTGGAGACCAATATATATTTTCAATCTTTGTGCTGAAAGTTTTGTGTGCAGCTTACTAGAAAATAAACTAGAAAAAAGGTGTTTTAGCCATTTAATCACTATTCCTTTGTTCCCCTAAAATGTGCTCAAATGTCCAGTGCAACTCTATATCCATGGTTTCCAATGTGATAGACAATATATAACTTCTAAAACATAGCTTATTTTCCCATGACAAATAGGAATCAAATATGCTAAAAATTCACGAAACCCTATAGAAGTTAAAGTGAAACAGTAGTGATGCTACCTAGATCTTGTGGTTTTTTATTTATTTATTTTTTTCCCCCAAAGCCCCAGTAGATAGTTGTATGTCATAGCTGCACATCCTTCTAGTTGCTGTATGTGGGATACGACCTCAGCATGGCCAGAGAAGCGGTGCGTCGGTGCACGCCCGGGATCTGAACCCCAGGCCGCCAGTAGCGGAGCGCATGCACTTAACCACTAAGCCACGGGGCTGGCCCAATCTTGTGGTTTTTAATCATGTTCACAGATGTTCAGTGAGAGGTTATACCCCAGTGAGCCCTCTATGCACACGAGATCATTATTAATCCGTGTTGTTACTCAATTGGTTCCATGCTAACCCAAAATGGGCTATGCTGGAGCTTGGTGGAAGGGTGTGTATGCAGTGGGTCAGGTTGTACTGCAGGTAAAATGACAGAAGGGAATGTGGGAAGTGTGTGGAGCTGAAGGTCTAAGCACAGTAGATGGGCGTTGACTTCCTTGGAAAGTTAAGGACTGTCAATGACAGTCAAAATAGGTTATCAAGCAGGAAGCCAAGTAATAAAAAAAAGACTGGAAATATCAAGCTGATTTTCTCATGTCTTTGGGAACTTAATCAAGAATCGTGTTTGTCTGAAGTGCTGGCAGGAGAAAGAGCGTGGGCCCCACACGCAGTCCTCACTCAAGCACAGCACTCAGTCACAGCAGCCACTGGAGTGCCTGCCTGCTTGTCGTGCTTACAGTGAAACCTGGTCACGTCTTTGAGCTCACAGCTCTGCTCCTCTTCAAAAACATAGGGATAAAAATTGATTTTATCAGCGTCTAATACAGCAGCTCTCTGATTTCACATAACTAAGCACAGATGTCAGCAGGCGTATTTTGAACGCCTACTGTTTGTCAGGCATTATCCCTAGGAGGTTGGGATTTAGGAGTAAATCAAACAAACCAAATCTCTGCTTTTGTAGAACTTCCCTTCTGGCGGGCTCCGGGAGAGGGGGACAGGGTTGGGGGGACAGATAAGCAAATAAATATATGTTCGGTGTTTTAAAATGCAGTGAAAAAAATAAGCAAATAAATATATATTCAGTGTTTTAAAATGCAGTGAAAAAAAATAAGCAGTGTAAGAGGACAGAAAGTGGTCTTTGGGAGGTCGTGCTCTTTGCTAGAGTGCCATTGATCACAAACGTGAAAATAGGGGCCAGCCCGGTGCTGTAATGGTTAAGTTCACATGTTCTGCTTCGGCGGCCCGGGGTTCGCTGGTTCAGATCCTGGGCGCGGACCTGCTTGTCGCTCATCAAGCCATGCCGAGGTGGTGTCCCATATAATAGAACTATAACTCTACAACTATGACACACATCTATGTACTGGGGCTTTGGGGAGAAGAAAGAGGAGGATTGACAACAGATGTTAGCACAGGGCCAATCTCCTTAAAAAAAAAAGAAACCTGAAAACAGTGATAGAGCAAGCCATGTTGGGTATATAGTGCTACTTTTGCAAGCACCACAAGTATTTATTACAAAAGTACATGTTTTTAGACAATTTAGAAAATGAAGGTAAGCTAAAAGAAGAAAAATAAAATTTTTTATATGTTTTCTTAGAACTAATCTCATCATTAATATTTTGCTGCATCTCCTTGCCTGTTTCATATTCAATAGTTGCCATTCACTTTCTGGCTTTCTCCAGAAAAGCTGGTCATTTGGTTCTCAGCTCTGTTTTTTCACTTGATTTGAACACTGCATCTATTTAAAATTTGTAATGGGAACACTGTAATTCTGAGGAGATGAGATAACTGCAACAGTTTTGAATTCCGTAGAATAAAGAGGCTAAAGGAAATTTTTCTGACCTGATTTCATAACATAACCATATTTACAGTTTTTAGATTTTTAACCAAGAGTTAGGTTTATAGTTGGCAGAAATTTCTGGCAAGAACTTAGAATGGCATTTATTTTCTGTATTTCACTTCTTTTGATTTTAAAGTCTGCTTATTCCTTAGAACTAGGGAAAGATCTTGATCTCATGTGGAGGGACTCATTTCCTTATTTTATGTATTATGTTCCTTCTGACCTTTAACCTTTGTTATAGGCAAAGAAGAGTAAAACCAAAATGCCATCCCTGGTAAAGAAGTGGCAGAGTATCCAGCGTGAGTTAGATGAAGAGGAGAACTCTAGTTCCAGTGAAGAGGACCGGGAATCAACTGCACAGAAGCGAATTGAAGAGTGGAAACAGCAGCAGCTGGTCAGGTAAAGAAAAGAGACGCCAGATAGGGTGGGTTGTGGTGGTTGTAGTTGTTGTTTTTAGAACAGTCCTATTCTTCAAAACACAGCCCTTAATTTTTGGTATTCTTTATAAACTTATCTAAAACCATTTAATTCATAGAATTATTTCCCTATATTCATATATATTTCCCTATAAAAATTATGGTCTAGCCTTTTTCTTTTTTCTTTCTTTTTTTTGTGAGGAAGATCAGCCCTGAGCTAACATCCATGCCAATCCTCCTCTTTTTGCTGAGGAAGACCGGCCCTGAGCTAACATCCGTGCCCATCTTCCTCCACTTTATGTGGGACGCCACCACAGCATGGCCTGACAAGTGGTGCTTCGGTGCGCGCCCAGGATCCGAACCCGGGCTGCCAGCAGCGGAGCGCGCACTTAACCACTTCGCCACGGGCCTGGCCCAAGTCTAGCCTTTTTCAAAATCAGAAATATCAGAGCTATAATACCTTCTCCCACTGAGTGTTCATCTTAGGCAAAGGAGTATCTTAACCCTCAGCATACCAGGAAATAGTCATCTCCATTTACCATCTAGATCCAATAGACCCTTTTATATATATTTTTTTTAACTTATTTTACAAATAATTTACAGTAGTAAAGATAAAGGGAAGGGGAGAAAGCTTCATTAGAATTTTAACAAGAATTTAAACATAGCTAACCCAAATTTTTATTCTTTATTTTGCTGGTTTTGAATATATACATACTGAAATGAGCAGCATTCTTTGAATGCAGCTAATTGTTCAGTTGTCATGTATAACCTGGAATATACTCATCTCATATATAGTGATGCCAGATTTCAAATTCATCTCTGATGGGTTCCAGCTTATCATTACTTCCAGTTCTTGCACTTGCAACATCCATAAATACAGTATTTATGAAAACATTTGGGAGGATATCCATATTTGCTTCATAATTCAAAACATTTTCATTTTTAGATATAATTAGAATATCATTCCAGTGAATTTTTTTGTTCTTAAAAATATCTATTTGTCTCCAGTTACTATATACCTGCTTTCAACATTTGTCCACTTATGAACTTGATCAAATAAATTTTAGCAGAAAGCATCATAAAACCTGAAAGATTCCTCTCACACGTCTTTTCAGAAAAATGAGATGGTCCAGGTTCTTGTTAGAAAATATTGAGTGATTCTCATTCCTTTTGGATGAGAATACTTTATTTCCTTTTTGTCCTTAGAAACATATTGTTCACTTGTCAATCTTGAATTTAAGCAAAATTCATCTAGGTTCTGGTCCTCTTAACATTCATAGTCTGAGATTTTAATCCAGTCAATTTTACCATCATCATTAGAGTCTATAGTGTCGCTGTCTGTCTCTTTGTGTTGATCTTCTGGTTTCTTTAATATTTGTGGGGGAAAAGAGACTGTGAAGGTGTCCCCAGACTACTTTTTTATTTCCTTGAAAGGTGGTGCACTGTTTAGGGCAAAATAATAAACTGAGGGATGGTATTAGTGACCCATTTTTTCACTTTTGCATCATCCTTTTAGGTGATTCCATTATTCTTCAGTTTTCTTATTATTTTAGTCTTATTTAGTTTTGCTGAGAATTGAGTAATGATTAATTCCTACAATGATGAAAGAGCAAACTATTTCAGGATGATGGGGGGGAATCACAAAGATCATGTAATTTATCTTAGATGATTTCAGATTTATAAAAGGAATCAGTGCACCCATTCTGGTAATTGCAAGATAGAATCTGAGTTTTAATCAGTCTTTTTAAAATGATTGAATAAGCCATGAGATATCAGTCCTTACAAATAGTTAGAATTGATCAAAAGAGAATCTCAAAAACATTAGGTCCAGAGGTTCCTGATAGTATATTGAAGGTTAAATATATCTTCCTTAAAGAATCATAACTCGTAGGGACCAAGAAAAAGTTCTACAAGAATGTGTTTTGGTCCTTCGATGTGGCTTTAATGATTACTGGAGATATATAAAAATAAATAAGTACTTAAATGTATATATAAAGCTATAGAGAAGAGTGTATGTCTGGTTGACCCATAATTAAGAAATTTGAAGAATATGCTGATAGCTGAGAAACTTGAAGCATTTTCATGAACATAGATGTGATGGATAAGACTCAGTTAGGGGCCGGTCCGGTGGCGCAAGCGGTTAAGTGCACGTGCCCTGCTGCGGCGGCCCGGGGTTCGCCGGTTCGGATCCCGGGCGCGCACCGACGCACCGCTTGTCAGGCCATGCTGTGGCAGCATCCCATATAAAGTGGAGGAAGATGGGCACGGGTGTTAGCTCAAGGCCAATCTCCCTCAGCAAAAAGAGGAGGATTGGCAGATGTTAGCTCAGGGCCGATCATCCTCACAAAAAAAAAAAAAGACTTTCAGTTAGAGGTTTTTATTTGCTAGGAAATGAACAATTGCCCTCGTTTTTTCTTTCCGGTGAAGTAATCTGTGTGTTGTTTTCACAGTGGCATGGCAGAGAGGAATGCAAATTTTGAAGCCCTTCCTGAGGATTGGCGAGCAAGACTGAAAAGAAGGAAAATGGCTCCAAACACATAGTTTTTTTTAAAAAAATAATTTTTTAAAATTTCTGTTATTGATTTTTTTTTTTTTTTGTATTTAGTTCAGAGTCTTAACTAGTTTTACTATTGTCAATAAACTGTAAGTGCTATGAGGGAGAGCATATGAATTTCCTGGGCAAGAGCATCCACGTACAAAGTTTTCACATTTGTGAAATGTAATTTTTCTGTTTTGCTGAAGGGTGAGGTGACTGAATGCTTTGACCTGGCTGCCTTTATTCTTGCTCACACTGGCAAACTCAGCCTGTTAGGTACATTAACCTTATCAGTCTGGAACATGCGGCTCCTAAGTATGACACCTCTGTAGAGGACTCACTGACAAGTGACGGGTTTTCCTGCCTAATAGAGGCTCATTTAGTTCCTAGTGTGGCTCTCTCATTAACTCCTCCAGAACAAGTGCAATTAAGAAGGCAGCTCTGTGTTCTACCTGGCTTAACCGGGATCTTGGAATCTCTGACCTCTTCCTCTAGTCTGCCACCCCGGAAGTGCTGAGGAATATCAAGTTGTTTACCTTGTGCTGACAGATGGCCACACTCTAAGAGTCTTCTTCCTCACAAATTGTAGAACTGGTAGCTCCGTCATTTCACACGCTAGGTGGTGTGGCGTATTTAAATTTCAGTACAGGCAGCAGAAGGTGTTCATGTCTTTGACTTTGAGAACTTCCCCTCACGTATGTGGCAGTAAATGTCATAAGAGCCACTGTATGTATTGATACGTCTCCGTTGTCTTACCTTGTTCGAAAGTTCACCTCCCTTATATGTGAATGTATTCTCCATAAAATTCCAGTATTTAAAAAGCAGTTTACTGTTCTGTACTTCTGTTGTATCACAATCAGGTAAAAGTCACTTTAAACTGAAGAAAAGACAAATTGTGTTTTAAAGCTCTGTTTGTATTTCTCCAGTTTCTGACCTTGTAAATTTGTATATATGCACTAATAAAGCTTTTTTTATACTTCTGATTGGTTATCCTTTTGCTCTTCTAAGCCTTTTCCTCCATGATTCTGTAACCAACACTTATCTTAAGTCAATTCTTCATTGTTTCACATATGGTATAAGGCATGTGCCAACACTGACGAACAGCTCTCAGGAAAACGAGCAGCCAGATCTTGAGGTGGGTGCGGGGAGGGGTGGAGGGTAGGTGGGGTACGGCTAGACGGGCTTCCAGGACCAGAGGATGCTGTGAGACTTACATTTTGGAGCTTGCACTCTATAATATTAGCTACTGTTTGACCTACTTAAATCCTGGTAGTTCTGTAATGTGGCTAATATTTTGAAAAAAAGTGTTTTATAGCTTTTTTCCCTCTGATTATGAAAGTAATATATACTTATGTTTATATTCATATAAAGTTAACCAGACAATTAATAGTTTGAATTTTATTCCAGTATGTTTATATGCATATAATTTTTTTTTTTGAGGAAGATTGGCCCTGAGCTAACATCTCTTGTCAATCTTCCTCCTTTTTTCCTTTTCTCTCCCCAAAGCCCCAGTAAATATGTCATAGTTGTACATCCTTCTAGTTGTACAACTAGTTGTATGTCATAGTTGTACATCCTTCTAGTTGCTCTATGTGGGACACCACCTCAGCATGGCTTAATGAGCACTGCATAGGTCCATGCTCGCCATGTGGGCCCTCAAACCCTGGACCACAAAAGCGGAGCAGGGCGAACTTAACTGCTACGCCACTGGGGAGGCCCATATATGTATATAATTTTAAATTTTTACCTAATGAGTATACGCTAGTGCCTTGGGTTTTATTTACCATTATACAAATATTGGGGTGACCATTTTGCATAGAGTAAATTTCTGGAAATAAAGGCTATCAACTAGCCATTAAAGCTTTTGCTTTAACAGTCTTCCAGACTTGTAGGAACTGCTGCAGAGCACCAGTGCCCTTGTCACTATCCTACACGAATGGAGCGTTCTTAAAAACCTGACAATTTGATAGTCAAAATGTGTGGTTTCAATTTACTAACTTTGTTTCTTGTGTTTTTTCAACGTAGAAGGTAATTTTTCAATTCTAGTTATGGGGCGGAGAGAAGGTGAAAGGAGAGGGGAAGCAGCTCCCTTTGAGCAATACTTAGCAGTTACCAGAAGCCAAGGAACAACAAAGAAGTTCTGAATATGTTAAGGACTACTGGCATTGTATTCATCAATCCGATTTCGAGTCCCCCAAAGCGGGGCTGTACTGCTTGCTGGATGCACGCAGGAAGCTGCCGCAGCAACGCGGCTCCTAGGCCCTTCCCAGGTTACCCACCCCCTCTTTGGGGGCGGGGCCTCGCTCCCCGGAAGCGCCTGGCCGCCACGCCCTCCCGCTTCCGCCTCGCGGTTGCTAGGCCACCGAGGTCCTTGCAGAAGGCGGTGGCGGGTGAACGTGGTGAGCGCGTCCTTTGCTCCGTGCGGGTCCGGGCCTCTGTACCTGCCGCGCCGGCGGCTCTTCTGCCGCCACGGAGGCCGCGCCCACGCCTGCTGCCCGCGACGAGCCGGGGCGCGGGGCGGCCGCGCCCTTCCCTCTGCCCTCCTAGGAAATCTCTACGCCCCTTGCCCCGACCCTTCGGGAAACCGCCCCTCACCGCCTTGCCCCAGACCAGGAAGCTCTGAACCCCTGAATTCCGTTTTCAGAGCCCACTCTCCGGGCCCCTGACCTTTCTTTTTCATCTACCCCGAGACAATTCCGCCTGATCCCTCCGTCCCCATTTCTCTCACCTTCCTGCGGCGTCCTGGTGGTGGGCATCTCCCTCCTCGGGCAGAGGGAAGCATGGGGCCAGCAAGGGTCCTGGAGCCTCAGGAGGAGGAGGCCGGAAGACATGGCTGCCTCCCTAATTCCTCAGGTGCCTCCTAGTGGGAACCACCAGCCCGGTCCTTGTTTGTCTGAGAGGCTGGGTTGGCAGGAAGGGGAGCGATGCGGCAGGTTTTCCTAAAATCGCGTGTGTGTGTGTGTGTGTGGGGGGGTGTTGGTAAATATCGGCAGTGTTTTCAGTTGTACTGTTCTGGCCTTTTAGCTCCTCCTGTGTAACCAGTTGCCCTTTTGGAAATTGCGCGGGTATCGTGGCTGGATGCCAGTGTCACTGACGGGTCTTCAGCGTATCATGCAGAAGTAACATGTTCCCAGCATTGGAAAAGGAGCTAAAGCAGGTCCGTACACACCCCTCTCCAGGATCTGCCCAGAAATCCAACACTAGATCAGAAGCTGTATGCTGCTGGCACCTTTCTCTTGCTGGAGATCTTGATCTCCAAGGTAGAATGATTTGCGTGACTGCCCTTCACTTGGTTTGTTTACAGAAGCCCTCAGGTATATTGTCCTCTGCAACAATGCTTCTGTACGATTTGGTAAGAGTTGAGTATTATTTGGAAGGACTTTCCTCATTGCGATAACCTTTCCTTTTACAGACTCTTCCTGATCCCTATGAAGACTTTATGTACCGTCACCTCCGGTACTATGGCTACTTTAAAGGTAATGCCTTGTTCTTATCTAGCATCACCTTTCCTGGGTTCATGAAATAAATCGTTTGATTAACTGGGAAAGTTACGCTTGGATAAACTAATGACGAATTTTTCCAGCACTGTTAGTGAAAAGTACATCCTTTCCCCATTGATCTGCTGTGTCACCTCTGTTGAGTGTCCATGGATACAAGGATCTGTTTGTCCATCCTTGCAGCTGTACTACCCTTTCTTGATTATACTATATGGCATTAAAATAGTCTTGATATCTGGAAAGATATATCCTCCCATCTTGTTCTTCAAAAGTGTCTTGGCTATTCTTGTCTTTTTATGTAATTTTAGAATTGGCTTGTGATGTTTAAAAAAATTATTTGCAGGGGCTGGCCTGGTGGTATAGTGGTTAAGTTCACATGCTCCGCTTTGGCAGCCCGGGGTTCATGGGTTTGGATCCTAGGCAGGGACCTATACACCACTTGTCAAGCCATGCTGTGGCGGCGTCCCATACACAAAATAGAGGAAGAATGGCACGGATGTTAGCTCAGGGACACGCTTCCTCACAAAAAAGAAAAAAAAATTGTTGAGATTGCATTGAATCTAGAGATTGAATTTCACAACAAATGAGAACTTTCTAATACTAAATACTCCAATCTATGAACGTAGTCCAATTTTCCATTTACTTAGGTCTTCCTTAATGTCTCCCAATAAAGATTTGTAACTTTTTCATAGAACTTAATATTTTTATGCTACTATAAATGGTAGCTTTTTAAATTTTGATTTTCTAGCTTTGTTCCTGATAGAGATAAAATTAAGTTTTCATATTGACTTTATTTCTACCAACCTTGTTAAACTTTCTTAACATTTCACTTTTTAAGTGATTACTAATTTGTTGAAAACTGAATTTCTGGTTTGCCAGATTCAGCAGAGCCCTCAGGACAAAGCAGCCTGGGGCGTCAGGGCTCCCCTCCCACTCTGAGTACCTGCCTCCGCTTGGCTGTGGCTCTCTTGGCTGCTGCTGTAGCTACTGGGTCTTTCTGCCTCCTAAGCCCTTTCTCTTTCCACTGTACCGTACTAGTTCTCCAGTCTTCTCACTCTAAAATGGAGAAAATGATGCTCAGCGCATGTAAATTGAAATGTGAAGGCTCTTTGGAAAATGGAATATATTCATTGGAAAGGCCTGTGGTGGTGGGCGGTGACAGAAGTCGTGGCAGTTTGGTGGTGTGGTTTTGGTATTGACCTACATGCTAGAGGTGATGAACTAGCCTTCCAGCACCTTTAATTAAACTGCCTATTCTTAGCTCAGAGAGGCAGTTTGCCAAGCTCTGCGACGCCCCAGCGTGTTTGGAAGAATAATCCTCGATACCTGTTGAGTGGCTCTTTTAGAGAAAGAGATGATTTGATACCAGACCCTCTGCAAAAGGAGAAGCTTCTATGTAAGTAATAATCAGTGTGTATGACCCCCCGGAACCCTCACTGCCTTGAGCAACTGCTCCAGGTATTCAGGAGAACACGGCCTAACGTGGGAGAAGCCAGGGGAGCAGCCTTGGCCACTGTTTCTTTTTTTTTTTTTTTTTTTTTAATTTTTTTTTTTTTTTTTTTCCCCCAAAGCCCCAGTAGATAGTTGTACGTCATAGCTGCACATCCTTCTAGTTGCTGTATGTGGGATGCGGCCTCAGCATGGCCAGAGAAGTGGTGCGTCGGTGCGCGGCGGGATCCGAACCTGGGCCGCCAGCAGCGGAACGCGCGCACTTAACCGCTAAGCCACGGGGCCAGGCCCTGGCCACTGTTTCTGACATCTCTCAAAAATGTTCTTTCTAGATCTCCTTTGGATTGTAGGTTTAAATTCAGATACTGTGCATTCTGGATTATCTTCCTCCAAATTGCTGGAAAATTTGGTAAGACTCTCTGGTCAAGGCTAACATTGATTTTTCACGCGATTTTGATGGATATATTTTTTTAGGCTCTTTGCATAAGAGTAGTGGACACCAATTCCAGCTAGCTTAAGCAAAAATAATTTTTCATGGGGATTCCACAGGTTTCTTCTGGAATCCAAGGGCGGAATGCAGTTGAATTTCTCCTTCAATACATATCCAACCAAACATCAATCCACTTCTCTTTACTCCACATCCTTCCCGCCCCAGTCCAGGCTACCACCATTTCTCACTATTGAAATAGCCTAGTGATTGGTCTCCTGGCTTCTTCTCTTGTTCCATGATGCCCTCTTCTCCTGCATTTTTCACACAACAGTGTTCTTTCTTTTTTTTTTTTTAAGATTTTATTTATTTATTTTATTTCCCCCCAAAGTCCCAGTAGATAGTTGTATGTCATAGCTGTACATCCTTCTAGTTGCTGTATGTGGGATGCGGCCTCAGCATGGCCGGAGAAGTGGTGCGTCGGTGCGTGCTCGGGATCCGAACCCGGGCCACCAGCAGCGGAGCGCGTGCACTTAACCGCTAAGCCATGGGGCCGGCCCCTCCTGTTTTGATCATTGGCATGAGAAACATATTTTTTCTTTGTCTTTGTAGCAAAGCATTTATTATGTTGGTATTTTTTTGTGTGGGAGGAAGATTGGCCCTGGGCTAACATCTGTGCCCATCTTCCTCTACTTTATATGGGATGCCGCCACAGCATGGCTTGATGAGTGGTGCATCAGTCTGCGCCCGGGATCCAAACCTGTGAACTGTTGAGTTTTTTGTTTTGATCAGAAAAGTACAAAGGTAGAAAAGAGTGAGTTACAATCTGCTTGTTTTAAAAAAAGAAAGACGGAATATACGTATAATGTTAGAAAATTCACGTTAGAAGAAAGCACAAAAGGAAAACTAAAAGCCCTCCCTGCCCCACCCCTGATACAGCCACTATTATCATTCTTTTTAGGAAAACAAGGTATATCCTCGTGTGTCTATATTTTTTCTTTTAATTGCTCACAGGGGATCCTATACACAATCTTTACTTTTTTTGTTTAAGAATATATCTTAGAGAGCTTTTTCATATGAGCACAAAAGAAAATCTACTTTATTCTTTTTAAGGGCACCTACAGTATTCCATCTCATTAATATGTCATAATTATTTCAACTTCCCTTTCGATGGACGCTTTGGTTGTTTCCACATTTTTGTTATTTGAACATTGCTGCAGTGAGCAGCTTTGTATATGTATCTTGATGAACTTTTGTGAGAAAATCTATAAGAATAAACTCTTAGCAGTGGGATTACTGCATCAAGGGTATATGTATTATAAATCTACGAGATGCTGCCAAACTGCTTTCCGGAAAGGTTGCACCAATTTGCCTTCTTGCCAGCAGGTTCTGAGAGAAGCTGTTTACTTACATCTTTACCAGGATGTGTGTGAAAAAATGGAAATGTTTTTCCTGTCTAATTGGTGAAAAACTGGTATCTCCGTATCATTTTGATTCACATTTCTTTATTTTTTATTTATTTATTTATTTATTCCCCCAAAGCCCCAGTAGATAGTTGTGTGTCATAGCTGCACATCCTTCTAGTTGCTGTATGTGGGACGCGGCCTCAGCATGGCCAGAGAAGCGGCGCGTCGGTGCGCGCCCGGGATCCGAACCTGGGCCACCAGCAGCGGAGCGTGAGCACTTAACCGCTAAGCCACGGGGCCGGCCCTCACATTTCTTTAATTGTGGGTGAGATTGAGCAGCTTTACCATCTTATCAAATGCTTATTGCTTTTTTTCCCCCTTAAATATTAGGGGAGGGGCCGGCCCCGTGGCTTAGCGGTTAAGTGCGTGCGCTCTGCTACTGGCGGCCCGGGTTCGGATCCCGGGCGCGCACCGATGTGCCGCTTCTCCGGCCATGCTGAGGCCACGTCCCACATGCAGCAACTAGAAGGATGTGCAGCTACGACATACAACTATATACTGGGGCTTTGGGGGAAAATAAATAAATAAACAAATAAAATTATAAAAAAAAATAAAATGGTTAAAATGGTAAATTTATGAAAAAAAAATATTAGGGGAAAGATTTAGAGATAGAAAAGCAGGGGTGCATTGCTGGGGTGGGGATGGAAAGGGATGGGGGAAGAGGGCAGGAAGAAGAAAGACAAAAGTCCTCAGGACAAACCATGCCTTCTTCCTCTCTCTAGGGCCCACCTGTCGATACTCAACTGTGCACAGACAGATAGAAGCTGTGAGCAGAGGTATCTCATGTCCTTCCGGACCAGAAAACAACTCCTTTGTGGAAGTGTCTTCACCTCCTCTGCCCACCAGAGCCGGCAATTACCACAGCAGCCTGCGTCCTGTCCTCCCCACTCACTCCCTTCCTTAATGTTCTTCCTCTCGTTTCCCTTCTTTATCTTGCTCCCCAGAGTCTTTCTTTCCCTCCCTTTTTTCTCATTCTCTATTTCCCAAGAGCTCCTCTCTCTTCTGCCCCTTGTCCCTCCTTCTCTGCCCCTCCCCTTTCCATCCTCTGTCTTATTAGTCTCTCTGCCCTTTGAATGGTTATATTCTGAACTTGAAATGTGATTTGTGGATTGTTTCACTGTAGTTAATAAAGTTTTCCGTGCTTTTTTCTAAAATGCTAATGGGTGAATTGAAAGTTCCTTCTGTTGCCTCTCTTTAATCAAAAATAATAAAATACATGAAGTAACTTTTTATTCATTTGTAACCTACTGAAATGTCTTAGACCCACTAAGACATTTGACTTAAAAAATAAAGTTTCTTCTAACTTACTCTAAAGCTTTACATTTAAATATTTAGTAGACTATGCAGAATTTTACCTTAACATTTTATAATTTCGATGCCATCATCCTGGACTAAATCTTCTTGAAGGAGAAACATGTCATAGGATTGCACATCTGTGCTCATATTTTAATACAGTGCTTAAAGTTACTTGGTTGTGGGCAGGCCCCGTGGCTTAGCCGTTAAGTGCGCGCGCTCCACTGCTGGCGGCCCGGGTTCGGATCCCGGGCGCGCACCAATGCACCGCTTCTCTGGCCACGCTGAGGCTGCATCCCACATACAGCAACTAGAAGGATGTGCAGCTATGACATACAACTATCTACTGGGGCTTTGTGGGGAAAGAATGAATGAATGAATGAATAAATAAATAAATAAATAATTATTTAAAAAAAAAAAAGTTACTTGGTTGTTATGTTGAGCAGTAAAGTTCCCCAGGAGGAGAAGGATGCTATTCACTTACTCCCTTTCCTTTTGACAGATTCCCTTATGCTGAAGTCACCACTTCTCCAGAGCAGACGGCTTCTTCATGATGAGTTTGGCAAAGTAAACCCACAACGTCGAGAGCCCCGAGATCTCTTTGCCTTTTTGTCTAGCAGCGGGGCATTGCAGGCTCCAAGATGGCCAGTGGAATGTGAGGTCATCAAGGAAAACATTCATCATATTGGTAATGTGACTTACGTATCCTGGTCTTACTCTCCTGACAGACTTTGTTACAAGACCTTACAGTTTCAAGTCCTGCGTGTTGAAGTACAAGGCCGTACAGATTCAAAATCTGTTAGCTTACCCTGAAATGATTAAGCTCTGGGAATCTGATAGACACTCACCGAAGTCAAAAGTTACACTAATGTGGAAACCAGAAGGCTTCTGAGTTTATTGGGATGGGAGGATACCTTTCTAGAGGCCAAAATATATTAATACTTAAATCTCTTTTCTAGATTATTCCCATCTTGGTATTAATATGCTTGGTTGAGTTTTATAAAAGTTTTTACCAGCCTTGGTATAATTGGTGACCACCATATATGTCAGAACATAGTTTTTACTGTTTTTAATTATATTTTGAGTTTATTGGAGTTTTTTATGGGAATAGTGGAGGTTTTTTTTTTTATTATTATTATTACCCCCAAAGCCCCAGTAGATAGTTGTATGTCATAGCTGCACATCCTTCTAGTTGCTGTATGTGAGACGCGGCCTCAGCGTGGCCGGAGAAGCGGTGCGTCGGTGCGCGCCCGGGATCTGAACCCGGGCCGCCAGCAGCGGAGCGCACGCGCTTAACCGCTAAGCCATGGGGCTGGCCAAATTGAGGTTTTTTTAATGACATTGCTGGTCATATCTTTGAGCTGTTAGTGCAAGTACAATCTTTTTTTTTTTTTTTTAAAGATGACCTTTCTTTTTATTTATTTATTTTTTTAGTGAGGAAGATCAGCTCTGAGCTAACATCTGTCGCCAATCCTCTTCTTTTTGCTGAGGAACACCGGCCCTGGGCTAATGTCCATGCCCATCTTCCTCTACTTTATATGGGACGCCGCCACAGCATGGCTTGACAAGCGGTGCGTCAGTGTGCACCCGGGATCTGAACCCCGGGCCACCATAGCAGAGCACGCGCACTTAACCGCTATGCCACCGGGCCAGCCCGAAGTGCAAGTGCAATCTTTAGCATTCATTTTATGAAGCGTTTTCAGAAGTAGGTTGCACTGAAAAGTGGGGACTTTTCTAATTGCTGGAACACTTAATGTCTACTAAACGTGTCTCTGCCTTAGACTGCTAGGTAAACAACTAGATGTTTCTTATCTTCTCACTTCCCTTGTATAATGTTCATTCAGTAAATATTTATTAAGTATCTACCGTATGCTAAGTACAGTGCTTTGTGTTAGAAATACAGTGGAGTAAGATGGAGACAGAGCTCACACACTAGTGGGGAAGTTAAAGATATAACCAGGCAGTTGCGTAGAGCTTGGTTCCTCTGGGAACACTTAACCTCACCAGCTTGGAAGATCAGTGAGGATTTCCAGGAGGAGTTGACATGTAAGGTGAAATCTGGAGGATGGGTTAGAAGTGAGCCAGTTGAGGGCCGGCCCCGTGGCTTAGCGGTTAAGTGCCCGAGCTCTGCTACTGGCGGCCCGGGTTCGGATCCAGGGCGCGCACTGACGCACCGCTTCTCGGGCCATGCTGAGGCCACGTCCCACATACAGCAACTAGAAGGATGTGCAACTGTGACATACAACTATCTGCTGGGGCTTTGGGGACAAAAAAGGAGGAGGATTGGCATGGATGTTAGCTCAGGGCTGATCTTCCTCACAAAAAAAAAAAAAAAAAAGGAGCCAGTTGAGAGGGTCAAAGAAAAGTATTCCAGTTAGAGGAAGCAGAAAAAGAGCCTGGCGTGTTAGGGCAGCCATGGAGCATTGAGTGTGAAAGACCAGAGGTGAAGCTGGAGCTACAAGGATGGGGTTAGTGTTCTTAACTGGGGGTGGGACTGCTCTTAGGGTGTTGGGAAATGGGTGGGAGGGGTGCATTTTGAGTTGGCACAATAGCTGAGAAGTCCTGAGGTCAATTATCCCTACACTGTGTAATTTTTAGATAAAAGTCCAAGTTGATCTGGCCAGACAATAGGATTTTGCTATTCCCTGTATAAAATAGACGAAGAGAATTCCTGTGAGGATTTCAGACTCACTTCCAAGAGGGGGGGAAAAAATGGGAAACTGGAAGTTAATTTCCAAGTTATTGCAGTGGTGATCTCCTAAACCACTAGGTCTTTAAAAAAGCAATTTTTTAAAAATTTCAAAGAAATTTAACACCAAGCACCTTATTATTTAAACCGAATTGTCAAAGCCTCATGACTCCCCATCGCCTTAAAGAAAAGAACAGACGGTAGCATTGTCTTTCACTGTGTTGTGTCTTTATGTGCCCTTGGCTTTCATCAGTGGCTCCTGTACTTAAACTGATATTGAGAAGTTGCCCAAGTCCCATGTGAGAAATCTTTTAGAATTGAGTGTTAATGAAAAAGCCTTGTTTCCTCTGAAACAATTGATATACTTGTTTTTCTATAGTAATAAACAGTCTGTAGCTGATCGTATTTTCCTGACTTTAAAAGGAAGCTCAGGGTCAAATTTTAAAGAGTTGTTACAGCAACTATATTGACATTTCTGGCTTAAAGTCTTCTATTTAAAGTTTATACTTTTGTTGTAAATCCTTTTTTTTAAAAGTCTCCTCATAGGGTGGAATATAAACCAACACATGGACAGAGAAAAGTGTATTGTGGTTACCAGGGGCAGTGGGGGTGGGGGGTGGGCACAAGGGGTGAAGGGAGACATGTATATGGTAATTGACAAACAAAAATTTACAACCAAAGTTTCACAATGTTATAAACTATTAAGACATCAATAAAAAAAAAAAAGTCTCCTCATAGGGCCGGCCCAGTGGCATAGTGATTAAGTTTGTGCTCTCTGCTTTGGTGGCCTGGGGTTCATGGGTTCGGATCCCGGGCGCGGACCTACGCACTGCTTGTCAAGCCATGCTGTGGTGGCGTCTCATGTAAAGTAGAGGAAGATTGGCACAGATGTTAGCTCAGCAACAATCTTCCTCACCAAAAAAAAAAAAAGTCTCCTCATAGCCTTTATAGAAAGAAGCAAGACATAATTAATTTATAACACACTGGAAACTTATGGTGGGAATTTGATTTGATTCAACCAACTAGCCATTTGAATAATAATTATTATTTTATATCAGTTCTGATAAAGCGCCTTTTCTATTATTTCTTATTTTGTACTTCTATAATGTGTTCTTTCAGAGTGGGTTCCACCTCAACCGGAATATTTCTATCAACCTACAGGAAATGAAAAGCTACCAGAAATTGTAGGAGAGGAAAAAGGCACAGTTGTCTATCAATTAGATTCAGGTATTGTCATTACACTGGACAGTGGGTAATTAATCATGACAAAGTTATAATAAGCACATTTTCTATAATAAATGTGATTTTTAAAAAAATCCATAGTTTAGTGATAAATAAACTATCTTTTCCAGAACAACCTGAATGGGAGCCCTGATATTCATGACCAATCAGCTTTGAAATTTCAGTTGTTTTTTAAAATGACAGTACCTTTTTCTTAATAGTTTTAAGTCCATTTTATAGCATCTCCCTTGTTATTCCCCTTCCTGAAAATCAGATGTTGGCTCTTTGGGGAACTTGCTCTTCTTTTCTCCACCTCCTGAATGGACTTCAGTGACTACTTTGTGGCATGTGCACTTGACTGTCATTTACTGTGTGGTTTCCTGCATTAAGTTGCAGGCTTCCTAGGGGTAGAAGCCATGTCTTTTCTAAAAATGTGCAAAACACCGTACCCAACAACAACAAAATACACATTCTTTTTCAAGGGCACGTGGATACGCGGTATACTGGGTGTAAAGCAAGTCTTAATACGTTTAAAAGGGTTGAAATCATACAAAATATATTCTCTGGCCGCAACAAAATAAATTAGAAATCAACAGCAGAATGAAATCTGGGAAATCTACAAATATTTGGAAATTGAATAACACATTTCTTTTTTTTTTTTTTAATTTTTTTTTTAATTTATTTTTTTTCCCCCAAAGCCCCAGTAGGTAGTTGTATGTCATAGCTGCACATCCTTCTAGTTGCTGTATGTGAGACGCGGCCCCAGCATGGCCGGAGAAGCGGCGCGTCAGTGCGCGCCCAGGATATGAACCCAGGCTGCCAGCAGCGGAGCGCGCGCACTTAACGGCTAAGCCACGGGGCCGGCCCCTGAATAACACATTTCTAAGTAACCCTGAGTTAAAGAAATCGTGAGGAGAGTTCAAAAATATCTTGAACTTAGTGAAAATAAAACAACATGTCAAAATTTATGGAATGCAGCTAAAGCACGGCAAGGTAAATTTGTGGTGTTAAAGGCCTATATTTGAAAGCAAGAAAGATCTCAAATCAGTTACCTAAGTTTCTACCTTAATAAATTAGAAAAGTAAGAGCAAACTAAATCCAGTGGAAGCAGAAGTAAGGAAATAACAAAGAATAGAAATCAGAAAAATAATAGAGAAAATCAAACTAAAAGTTGGTTCTTTGGAAACATCAACATAGTTGACAAAACTTTAGCTAGACCAACCAAGAAAAGAGGAGAGGAGACACAAATTAGCAAAATCAGGAATGAAAGGAGACATCAACATCAACTCTATGGAAATCAAAAGAATTATAAGGTAGTGCTATTAGCAACTTTATGCCAACAAATTAGACAACATAGATGAACAGGTAGAAAGACACAAATTACCAAAACTGACTCAGGAAGAAATAAAAAGTCTGAATAGATTATAATAAAGAAATTGAATTAGTAATTTAAAATCTTCCTGCAAAGAAATCCCTGGCCCCGATAGCTTGACAGGGTTTTTTTTGAATGATATCAAACATTTAAACATGAAATAGTACTAATTCTTCATAAACTCCAAAAACAGAGGAGGAGGAAACCTTTCCCAACTCTTTTTATGAAGCCAGTGTTGCCCTGATACCAAAGCCAGACAAAGACCCCCAAAAAAGTATAGATCAATATTCCTTATGAATATAAATGCAAAAATCCTCAACAAAATACCAGCAAACCATATCCAACAGCATAGTGAAAGGATTATACACCCTGACCAAGAGGGATTTGTCCCAGGGGTGCAAGGGTGGTTCAACATAGGAAAACCAATGCAACACCCCATGTTAATGGAAGAAAGGGGCAAAAACATACAATCATCCAATCACCTCAATGCACAAAAAGCATTTGACAAAATCCAGCGTTTCATAAGAACATTCCGAAAACTAGCAATAGAAGAGAATTTCCTTAGCTTGATAAAGGGTATTTATGGAAAAGATGGATCAACTTTACATCCACTAAAATAGCTATAATAAAAATACAGACAATAACAAGTGCTGGGGAGCATGTGGAGCAGGTGGTAATACTAACATTTAAGATAGAAAGGAAAGGTAACGTTAAAGAGCAATGAGCCAAGAAATGTAATATGAACCTTCCCAAGGAAAGGGAAGTAAATTTTGAGTTAATAAAGGAGAGACATGGGGAGGTAGAGAAGCTGCCAACAAGGGCATCCTTTATCATCACCAAAAATCATCTGATGCTCATTGCACACACAGGTACCAGAGCTAATCAGAACTTTTTAAAAAGAGTTCTCTAGGGGCCAGCCCCATGGCTTAGCTGTTAAGTGCGTGAGCTCCGCTACTGGCGGCCCGGGTTTGGATCCTGGGGGTGCACCGACGCACCACTTCTCCGGCCATGCTGAGGCCGCGTCCCACATACAGCGACTAGAGGGATGTGCAACTATGACATACAACTATCTACTGGGCCTTTGGGGAAAAAAAAAGGGAGGATTAGCATGGATGTTAGCTCAGGGCTGATCGTCCTCACAAAAAAGAAAAACAAAAAAAGAGTTCTCTGCAGTTGGGAAATGCTGTATTCAAGAAATAGAGAGCAAGAAAAATATTCTCATAGTTTGAAAATCAATCACTGCTAGATAGTAATTATCAGAAAGGAAATCTATTTTATTGGAGGAGGGATATGTACCAAGTTTAGTTAGTAAAAATAGAATGTGTTGAGTCAGTGAAATCAAGGGAAGTTTTTGGAGAAACAGCTGGAATCGGAGGGATGGACTGCAGTGTGTTTAAATTCCTACAACTAGAAGAATAAAATGAGCCAGTTTTACCAGAGGGCCCAGCTGAGATGTTATTGCACCTGCTCTACTCCCAGTTGCCTTGATTATGAGCTCTCCTCATGTTAATAATATTATGGTGGAAAAAGCTATATGCAGTGAAGTAAATAAAGTGAAGCAACTCACAATCTACCTACTTCCACCTTATGGGATGTCTGAGGAGTTTGGGAGACATTCAAGTATGAGATCATAAGTGGGTAAATGGGTTATGAATAATAGGGAATGTACTGCTCCTACAACCTCAAGAAATTCTTGGGATTATAAACCTGTTTTACCTCTTACCTACTTGGCCGTACTCATTTTCTTTTTTTTTTTGTGAGGGAGATCAGCCCTGAGCTAACATCCGTGCTAATCCTCCTCTTTTTGCTGAGGAAGACCAGCTCTGAGCTAACACCTATTGCCAATCCTCCTTTTTTTTTCCCCCCAAGGCCCCAGTAGATAGTTGTGTGTCATAGTTGCACATCCTTCTAGTTGCTGTATGTGGGACGCGGCCTCAGCATGGCCGGAGAAGCGGTGCATCGGTGCGCGCCCGGGATCCGAACCTGGGCTGCCAGTAGCGGAGCGCGCGCACTTAACTGCTAAACCATGGGGCAGGCCCTGTAGTCATTTTCAATAAACCACATGACCATGAATCCACGTTGCTTCATCTGTTCTATTCAGAGATGTTTCTGCATAGAAGGAAACCCTGGGGCTGAGAGCCCAGTCTCCTTGGCAGCTTTTGTGATTGTCGTAATTGTCCTGTCAACACACAGTTGTGGCAGCTGCCCTGATCTTCTTGTCATTTGGGTACATCAAGGAGAATTGAGCCCACCCTATTGGAGGGATGACGACACAGAAATCTGAGAAGATGGGACTCCAGAGAGAATTTGGGAGTTTGTCAGTTTAGGGGCCCCAGAGCAAATACATGCTATGAGAAGATTGGGGAAAAAGGAAAGAGGTTTTATTTTTTGAGAAATATAACTGTGGGCTGTGAACTGGATTGTCTTTAATGTTACCTGAGAGACTCAAACTATGCAGTTCCTATACATCTGGCTGCTGGTCTGTGCTTTGATTGCGGGTCCATGAAGAGATTGAACCACTCGGGGCCCCAGCTCTTAATTGAATTACGTGTACTCTTGGGGCTGCTTCTGCTCCTTCCTCCTCTGTGCTTGTTTTCTTCTTTCACTCACCTCTGCATGCATGCTTTCTCCTTTGCTCTCATTTATTATCCAAATGTTTATTATCTAAGTCTCCACAGTTCCACAAGGTTGTGTATAGAAGCAAAAGTCATCGTAATATGAATACGTTTACTTATGAACTGACTACTTTTGTAATCAGGCCCTGCAGAAACATTACTGTGTGTTTATTAAATTTTTTTCCCCCCAAAGCCCCAGTAGATAGTTGTACGTCATAGTTGCACATCCTTCTAATTGCTGTATGTGGGACGCAGCCTCAGCATGGCCGGAGAAGCCGTGCATCGGTGCGTGCCCGGGATCCGAACCCGGACCGCCAGTAGCGGAGTGCACGCACTTAACCACTAAGCCACGGGGCCGGCCCTTACTGTCTGTTTAATGCTAGCATCTATCCTGTCCCAGGGTCAGCATCTTTGTTGATATCAGTCACTTGCTGATTGATGGATATTGTTAACATCTGACAATATAATGCAAATAAAGTAAAACTTAATTGCAAAGTGAAATGATGATCCTTACAAGAGATGCAGGATTTTATGAAGTTGACGAATGTTAAAGAATCGCTTGAATCACTTGCAAAGCCACTGACAAATGAAAATCTAGAAATTTTTTATCAGTTAACATTAAAGAGAAAATCAACAAAAGATGACAAAATAGATTCTTCTGGACATAATGATAAGAATTTTGTGGTACAAAGAGAAGTCCTTGGGAAAACTATGAAGCCCTAAAATTGTTTTGCAAAAGTAACTGCAAAAATCAGCGATGTCATATGGCCCTCTCACTGCATTTGTCTGAAAAATTGCAGCCACACCAAAACAAAATCAACAATTGATTTTTTATTACTCCAAGGATTAGAAAGAGATTGTGATTATAATCTAAATTTTGTTAAATAAGATAAAATAATTTTCATAATTTTTTGTTTTAGCTTCATTTTAAAGATAAAATTTCAATCATAACCTTTTCTTTTCACTAATGACTATGATATTTTGATTCCCCTCTTAGGCAGATTCACCCATGCCAATTCTTCTCAAACTTCTATTTTTGTTATATTTAAATCTAGAAGGATATAACAAAAAATGATATGGAGTTTATTTTCTCTTTTTTGTTTTCCCCTTTATCTTTTTCAAATTAATAAATAGGTGCTATTTGCATTTTTTTAGTAGAATAAAAGTGCAAATGTTTTCAGATCCTCTGTTTAGGATATCATTTTTTGCCAACATCCTTTAAATTAGGGTTTTAGTGGGTACAAGCAGTATTTCAGATGCCAAGGGTAGCTATGCAGCAAAAGGAGGTGCTCCAAACCACTTAAAGGTCTTCAAAGAAGTACATTGTTTAAAATTAAAATTCTCAAGGACAATTGCAAATTTGAATATTCATTGTTGTTAACCTAGAATAGTGCTGAACCCATAAAGGGGCTCAATAATAATAATATTTGGTGGTGGATAGATTCTGAGTGGAACCTGACCTAAATGTGTCTGTCTCATCTGCAGTGCCCGCTGAAGGCTCCTACTTCACCAGTTCCAGAGTGGGAGGCAAACGAATTATCAAGGAACTCGCCGTCATGTTGCAAGGACCAGAAGATAATACTCTACTGTTTGAATCAAGGTTTGAGAGTGGCAATCTGCAAAAAGCTGTCAGAGTGTGAGTAACAGAGGAATTTCTCAGAGGGAAGGTGATTGAAGTGACTGAGAAGTGTCTTCAGGCATCAGGAGTTTTCGAAAAAGAGAGAGGTGATGGGAAATGGTTATGAGGATGATAAAGAATGGAACATTTATGACTCATATTTTTCCCCAGAATGAAAATTTATCTAAATTGTTTTTTCTGCTTATAAAAGAAATTAGTGCTCATTTAAAATTTGTCTTAATAAAAATACATAACGTAAAAAGTTGTCCTGTAATCATACCTCCCAGATGCAGCACCTGTTAAGAGTTTAGTGTATATGCATTAATTTTTTTCTCCCTATCTCTGTGTATGTGTAATATACACAAATTATATCTTTTTGAAAATAGGATAATGGTATACATACTGTTTTGCAAATTGCTATTTTCCACTTAATACATTTTAGCTGTTTTTCTATGGCAGTATCACACATGTGTCTCCTTATTTTTAATATTCATGTTATTCTATTGTATGAATATTACATACTTTATTTATCCCGTCCTCAACTGATGGGAAATTAAGATGTTTATCATTTTTTGTTTAACAAGTTAACAGAATTAACTATGCGTTTATATTTTTAACTGTTTGTGTTTTATGGGATAAATTCTAGAAATAAGATTGTTGGGTCAAAAGATTTGAATAAAGTACTGCTAGTTTTTGCCAAATTGCCCTCCAGCGTGATTTCAGTTCCCGTCAACAGCGTGTGAGAGTAACTGTTTCCCAACATTAGAATGTTGATGAGATGGAGGGAAAAATCACATCCTATTATAATTTATATTTCTTTAATTATGTATGTAGGTGAATATCTTTTCATGTTTCCGCATTTGTAGTTCCTCTTCTGCAAGTTAGTTCTGCTTCTGTTCTACAAGGTGGATGCATTCCAGAGATGCCCCTTCGTCTTCGAATAATTGATGATCAGAGATAAAATAGCACAGGAGGCTTAAGGGTCTCCTCCCACTGGTGATGTCCAGATGTAGCGAGCTGCCAACAGAGGGCTCTGGCTTCACTACTGTTCAGTGTGTTTCAGAGAAATGTATTTCCCCAAGTTCCTGTTAGCCGAATATGTGAGTTGGAGAACTAGGTAGATTAGGAAATACATGTTTGATGTATCAGGCTTCTCTGTTGTAATAAGATCTGTTTTTACCAGGGAAAAACAATATTTTCCCAGATTTGTTTTTTGAGGGGGGTGAGGGGTTACAGAGATATTCTTCTGTTTTCTCCGATACAGAGACACCTATGAGTATGAACTCACCTTGCGAACTGACCTCTACACGACCAAACACACTCAGTGGTTTTATTTTCGAGTTCAGAACACCAGAAAAGATGCCACCTATCGCTTCACCATCGTCAACTTGCTAAAACCCAAGAGCCTTTATACTCTAGGGATGAAGCCCCTCATGTACTCCCAACTGGATGCCAACACCCGCAACGTTGGCTGGAGGAGAGAAGGAAATGAAATCAAGTACTACAGGAACAACACGGATGATGGGCAGCAGGCCTTTTACTGTCTCACGTGGACCACTCGGTTTCCGTACGACCAGGACACCTGTTTCTTTGCACACTTCTACCCATACACGTACACGGATTTGCAGTGCTACCTCCTGTCCGTGGCAAACAACCCTGTCCAGTCTCAGTTCTGCAAGCTCCGAACTTTATGCAGGAGCCTGGCAGGAAACACCGTCTACCTGCTCACCATCACCAACCCATCCCGGACCCCCCAAGAGGCAGCTGCAAAGAAAGCCGTGGTCTTGAGCGCCCGAGTCCACCCCGGGGAAAGTAACGGCTCCTGGATCATGAAAGGCTTCTTGGACTTCATCCTTAGCGACTCCCCAGATGCCCAGCTCCTCAGAGATATCTTTGTCTTCAAAGTGGTTCCCATGTTAAATCCAGACGGAGTAATTGTGGGGAATTATCGGTGTTCGTTGGCTGGAAGGGACTTGAACAGGCATTATAAAACCATTCTTAAGGAGTCTTTCCCTTGCATCTGGTACACCAGAAACATGATCAAGAGGTGAGACCCTTTATCTGTTGGTCTTTCTCTGAATGCTGTGAGCACTATCTGATGGGGTGTGAGGACTCTTCTGATGTTGTAGGAATTGGGTATAGCTTTGGAGACAGTCTTTACCATTCTCTTTGCAGTCACATGGGTTTGTTCATTTTCAAACTTTTTTTTTTTTTTTTTGGTGAGGAAGATTGGCCCTAAGCTAACACTTGTCACCAATCTTCCTCTTTTTGCTTGAGGAATATTGGCCCTGAGCTAACATCTATGCCAGTCTTCCTCTATTTTGTATGTAGGACACTGCCACAGCATGGCTTGATGAGCAATCTGTAGGTCCATGCCTGGGATCCAAACCCACGAACCCTGGGTCGCCAAAGTGGAGCATGTGAACTTAACCACTACGCCACTGGGCCAGCCCCCATTTTCAAACTTTTAAATCATGACTTATCTTTGGGTTGAAACTGAACATGCAACATTTCAGCTAGAGGCATGTCACTTATAAGTGAAATGATTGAATGGAAAAGGTCGGAAGTCAGAGGAGATCATAGGTCTTCCTGATCAGACTTGTGTAATAATAATAATAATAGCATCTAACAATTAGTCAGTGCTTATATATGAGGTGACAGCCAGTATTCTCAGTGTTTTACACCTAGGACCCATTTAATCTTCACATTAACCCTTCAGTAATCAATCAGTGTCCCCATTTTGTAGATGATGAGGAAATTAAGGCCCAGAAAGGTTAAGTAACTTGCCCAAGGTCATACAGCCTAGAAGGTGACAGAGTAGATATTTGAACACAGGCCCTCTGGTTCCGGAGTCTGAGTTCCTAATTACTGTCATACATTGCCTCTCGTGAAAAAGGAGTAATAAATCAGTTAGCATTTTCCAAGCCTGTGTAAAAGCAGTTGAAGGCTCTGATGTAACAGCATCCACCTTAAAGGAGCTTCCATTTCATTGGAAATGAAACTACCGCATGTAAGAAGATGTGAATGCACACTTTCTAACGTATCTGTGTAAAAGGGTGGGGGTAGTGTTGGGCTGGTAGGCAAAGTGGCTAAGAGCATATGTTAGGGAGTCAGACCGGCCTGGGTTTGAGACCTGCTTTGACTACTGGCTGGTTCTGTGACCTTGGAAGTGATTCGACCTCTCTGCACTTAGCCTTCTCATCTGCAGAACGGGGATAATAATATCTGCCTTGAGTGGTTACTGTGAGGGTTAAATGAGATAATCCATGTAATCTATTTAGCATAGTACCCAGCACGTTGTAAATGTGTGCGTTATCGTTATTATCCTCGTCATCCTATCCTCATCACCATGGAGAAGGTGAGCGTGTTTGGAAGGTTGAATAGGTGCCCTGGGTGATCAGGAGACAAAGAAGAGCTGAGCCATACAGGAGCTAGCCTTTCTTTGGTTCTGTCTTTTTCATCCCTGCAATTACAGCCTCTCTGCCTCTCCCCCTCTTTCCACAGGTCTGCATCAGGGTTGGCTTTCTTTCCATAGATTTTCTCCACTTCCTTGTCAACTTTCTCAAGGCCTACCCACCACCCCTTTCCACATCAGGACTTTTCCATTTCAAGTCCCTCTGACTGGCAGGGGCAAGGAGTGTCACATGTTTACAGCAGTGGCTGAGGATGGGGATAGAGTCCTTTGAATGCCGTTAGAGGTTAAATTTTTCTTTTTTTTTTTTTTTTTAAATTTTATTTATTTATTTCCCTCCAAAGCCCCTGTAGATAGTTGTGTGTCATAGCTGCACATCCTTCTAGTTGCTGTATGTGGGACGTGGCCTCAGCATGGCCGGAGAAGCGGTGCGTCGGTGCACGCCCGGGATGCGAACCCGGGCCGCCAGCAGCTGAGCGCGCGCACTTAACCGCTAAGCCACGGGCCGGCCCTGAGGTTAAATTTTTCTTAGGAGAGAAAGTATCAATGGATATGCGTAAGGAAGGGACTCCAAAAGATCCTTGATTATTGGCATGCATTTGGATGTACACTGAGCCCTTTGTTTGCCCTCCTCACTAGACTTCTTGAAGAAAGGGAGGTTCTCTTGTATTGTGATTTCCATGGCCACAGCCGGAAGAATAACATCTTCCTGTATGGCTGTAATAACAACAATCGCAAGTACTGGCTTCATGAGCGAGTCTTTCCTTTAATGTTAAGCAAAAATGCACCAGATAAGGTAAGCACGCAAGGTAATTCTCTGTCCATTGACTAAGGGAGGAGGGAATTCACTGCTTCCTGTATGTAGTGTTTGATTTGCCACTTTGTAGCTCTTTTCATTGTCTTGGGTAAATCCCAGCAACCTGGACTTCAAGAATTTAGAAAGATGTGATTAAGAATTACTCTGTGTTCATTGACTGATGAAAGCAAATAAAATGTGGTATATCCACACAATGGAATGTTATTCGGCAATAAAAAGAATTAACTACTGAAACACTATGACATGGATGAACTATGAAAATATTGTGCTAGCGGCCGGCCCAGTGGCGCAAGTGGTTAAGTGCCTGCGCTCCGCTTCAGTGGCCCGGGGTTCGCGGGTTCAGATCCCGGGCGCACACTGACGCACTGCTTGTCAAGCCGTGCTGTGGCGGCGTGCCATATAAAGTAGAGGAAGATGGGCACCAATGTTAGCTCGGGGCCAGTCTTCCTCAGCAAAAAAGGAGGAGGATTGGCATTGGATGTTAGCTCAGGGCGGATCTTCCTCACAAAAAAAAAAATAAAGAAAATATTATGCTGAGTGAAAGAAGCCAGACACAAAAGGCCACATATTGTAGGATTCCATTATGTGAAATGTTCAGAAGCAGCAAATGTATAGAGACGGAAAGTAGTTTCTTCATTGCCTAGGGCTGGTAGGGGGGAGGGTAGAGTGGGGAGTGACCACTAATGGATACTGGGTTTCTTTTTGGGGTGATGAAAGTGTTCTAAACTTAGGTGGTAGTGATGCTTGCACAATTCTGTGAATATAAAACCAGTGAATTGTGTACTTGAAATGGATGAATTTTATGGTATATGAATTATATCTCAATAAAGATGATTTTTAAAAATTGCTCTGGCTGCTTGGCCTAGGCACAAGTTCAGACTCTTGGTAGGTAGAGTTTTCTATCATCTTTAAATCTTGTGGTTGGCAGTGGAAGAAGGGATTAAAGGACAAACAAAATGCTAATGTTATATGAGCTTCCCAGAAAGCTTTGTGTCATACAAGGTCAGTGATAACCGTGAGATATTAAAGGGCTAATGAAAACCACCGAGAAGTCTTGAATAGTTGAATAACAGGTCTGTGACAGTCTGGCATATACAGAGTGTCTACGTTGGATTAGAAGCTGGTTTTCGTCATCGTAAATAGATCCACAAAATGTAACTGTCCTTAGATAGAAGAAATGAGGTTGGATTAGAGAAGTATTTAAATGATAGTGCAGGAAAAGCGGGAGGGATCTCTTTCTTCAAATGGGATCCCATCTAGAACCCAGTATCTGAATGAATTAAAAGCAGAGCTACCCTGGGGCCAGCCCTGTGGCTTAGCGGTTAAGTGCTGGCGCTCCGCTACTGGCGGCCCGGGTTCGGATCCCAGGTGTGCACCGACGCACGGCTTGTCCGGCCACGCTGAGGCCGCGTCCCACATACAGCAACTAGAAGGATGTGCAACTATGACAGACAACTATCTACTGGGGCTTTGGGGGAAAAAAAAAAGGAGGAGGATTGGCAATAGATGTTAGCTCAGAGCCGGTCTTCCTCAGCAAAAAGAGGAGGATTAGCATGGATGTTAGCTCAGGGCTGATCTTCCTCACAAAAGAAAAAAAAAAAAAAGCAGAGCTACCCTGATTGAAGAGGGGTGGAGGGCGTGGACCCCTGCCCGTTCTGCCTCCTCCTCTGGTTCTGGGCAGGAATGCCCTGAGGCTCCTCAGCAGAAGCCCTGGGTTCCGCAGAGCACAGTTTAGGAATCACTAGATAGTGAGATACCTTCCAGCTGTAAGACATTTCCATCAAGATGGGATAGTTGGGATAGGTGCCAAGTGTGTCACAAACTCCAAGTGAGGAAAGAGGGTTCAGGTGGTCCTGAAAGACAATGGAGGATATTGAACTCTAAGCAGCGAAGATTAGGGTACGGGAGCGAGAGAATTCTGGCGGAGATTATAGGGGTGAGGCACACAAATCATATATAGAGGATAAACCCCGCTAGATCCAAGGGTTCACGTTCAGGAGAGGTAGAAAACGAGTCTTAGAAAGGTTGGCTAATGCCTTGAATGCCAAAGTTAAGCCAGCATTCCTAAACAAGTGTTCTGGGAACACTAGACCTGCAAAATGTCCCTCGGGGAACGAGGTGGGGGGTGGTGGGAGTGCGGGAAGGAAGGGTTCGTGGGCAAATAGGTTTGAAAAACAGAATATGCTCCCTCACCTTTGGAAGATCACTGTCTACAGTAGCATATTAAATGCTCTGAGAAGTCCTGCAGAGGAAGCTTGTTTAGTTTTGTTAACCTTTCATCTCCCTGACTAACACGCCCACATAACTCCTTTTTTCCTCTTTACATCCCTCAGAATTAGTATGTTATGGAACATACTTTAGGAAATGATATATAGACCCCAAAGGGACCATTCTTGCATCACATTAATGAATCTCAGACATCTGACACTTGCCACTTTACGATTAACAGAGGATTTGGATTTCCTTTAGTTCTCTTTCCATAGTTGTAATTTTAAGGTCCAAAAGTGCAAAGAAGGAACAGGACGAGTGGTGATGTGGCGGATGGGAATCCTCAACAGCTACACCATGGAGTCGACCTTTGGCGGCTCCACCCTGGGTAAGCGCTCTTTCATATATTGTAGGCAACATGGCAGGGGAAGCCAAGCAAAGCATTGGGGAGATGAAATCCCTTTGAATGTTGGGGAGGTAATTGACCTAGAGGGTTTTCTTGTCTGTGCCTCATGCTGAAATTGAGTACCCAAAATAGGAGTGTGAAGTGTAGTGCTTGATGGGGCAGCGTAGCCTGGTGGTAGCTCAGGATCCGGAACCAGGCAGATCTGGGTTTGAATTTCAACTCCATTTAAAAGTTGTATGATCCTGGGCAGGTTTCTTAACCTCTTTGAACCTCATTTTCCTTTAGCTGGCAGTAATAATAGTACCTGCTTGATAGGTACTACTTAATGAGATAATGCATGTAAATCACTTGGCAAGTGCCTACCACAAAGAAGACCTCAGTAATTATAGCCATCGTGACTGTCAGCTTGTTCCTTGTCAAGGATTCTTCTGAACCAAACTAGCACTAGAAGGAGAGAAACCCTGTCCAGGGGCATGGTATTCTAGAGTCAGAGGTAGTGTTTTTAATGAGATAGTCATAAGTTATATTTGCATTTGCTCATTAAGATTTAATAAGAAATGTTTATGGATTTTTTTCCAGGCACTAAAAGAGACACTCACTTTACCACTGAGGACCTGAAGTCTCTAGGTTATCATGTCTGTGACACCCTTCTGGACTTCTGTGATCCTGACCGAGCCAAGGTAAAAACGGGGTCTCAAGAAATGTGGTCATGGGGGCCAGCCCGCTGGCGTAGCAGTTAAGTTCGCATGCTCTGCTTCAGCAGCATGGGGTTTGAGGTTTAGATCCTGGGCGCGGACCTATGCGCCACTCATCAAGCCATGCTGAGGCGGCGTCCCACATAGAGCAACTAGAAGGATGTACAGCTATAACATACAACTATCTACTGGGGTTTTGGGGAGGAAAAAGGAAAAAAGGAGGAAGATTGGCAATAGATGTTAGCTCAGGGCCAGTCTTCCTCAAAAAAATGAAATACAAAATAAACAAAAAAGAAATGTGGTCATGCCACTGTGATCAGTTTCACATGGGTCCGAAGTCAGCCCAGTGGTATTATGCATAATCTTTATTCTCCTTTTAATATTTTTCTGAAGTTTTTATAATCAAAGAAAATCCCCAGCCTGCACACTCCCAGCAAATAGGAAGACCTTGTAATTCACCAAGAAGATGGAGGCCATCATGCTGGCTTTCCTTCAGTGCTGCGCCTCCCTTCTAGGCTTACCCATGGCAGCACCAGTCCTTACCTTCCATTCTCCTATTTCAGAAAATCAGGTGTCCTTTCTCTTCTCCAAAACTGATCCTCCCTTCGTGCACTTGCCAGCTTCCCCACGGCCTCCCTGAAGTCTTGCCTCATTTATTACCTCCTCTCTTTTCTGTGGCCTCAGTTTTTCCCTCTTCTTACTTCTTCCCCTCAAGCGCAGATGTTCTCAAGTTGCCCCTGTGCTGAATCACAGACAGAGGTTTCCTTTGGTCTTGTTTCTCCAGCAGTTTATGTCTATTTCCTTTTATCACTCCATTTCTTAAAAAGGAGTCTGTGCTCATGGTCTCTAACACCTTTCTCATACCGCCTCGGAAATGTGGGCCCTGGGAACATGTGATACGCGCCACTCTAGATGCAACTGTTTAATAAAAAATATCTAAAGGAGAATTTGACCACAACACGGCCTCTTAAATCATACTTGCCATCGGCCAAAATCTGAGTAACCTCATTCTAACTTTTCCTTTCTTGATACTCAAAAAAATAAAATAAATCAGACCACTGCCTTGTTTAAGAAGTTTATTATTGGCTATAGCCAGGCAAAAGTGGCTAAACTAGTGTTCATTGACGTTCTGCCCTAAAAAACACTTCTGTCTGTTCCTAAAGCTCATGTAATTTATCTGTCAACATATCCTTATAGCAGAGGTTACAGCTTATGTCCCCAGCAATAAAATGCCTTTCAGCATATGCTTAGTAAATACTTGATGAATAAATAAATGAATTATCAAAAATAGTTGTTTTTTTCACTTCCGCAGTTCACACAGTGTCTGGCAGAGCTTAAAGAGCTCTTACAACAGGAAATCCATAAGAAATTCAATGAACTTGGACAAGATATGGATTTAGAAGGAAATTGGAGTGACATCTCCTTGTCTGACATTGAATCCAGGTAACAAACTTCATTTCAAAGAAAAATCAGAGAAGTTCTTTTTTTTTGTTATTTGTTATTTTGTTCACTCTGTTTTGATTTTGGCTTTGGTTTTGTTTGGTTGGTTTTGAACCTCAGGTGCAAACATTGAGTAAATCATGGCACACTTAAATACACTTCATTCCTTCAGCAACTGTGTACTGAGTGCCTGTTCCTTGACAGCCTCTTTTCCAGGCACTAGAGGGAGTTAGGGAGTTGGGCGGGCAGTTCGTGTAGGGCCTTTAGGCAATTGTAAAGCCTTTGTCTTGAACACGAAGGATGATGGAAAGCCTTTGGAAGCTTTTAAGTAGAGAAGTGTCATGATCTGACTTAGGTTTTAGTTTTAATAGGAACACTCTGGCTGCTATGTGGAAAATAGAAGGTAAAAGTTTAAGCAGGGAGACTCATTAAAAGGCTCTTACCATAATACAGGTGAAAGGTAATGGTGGCTTAGACCAGAGTAGTAGCAGTGGTTGGGGGTGTGTAAATCAGTTGGATTCTAGGTATATTTTGAAGTTACAAACATTAGCATTTGCTTATGGATTGGATACGGGGCATGAGAGAAAGAGAGAATGACTGCATAATTGGTTGGATGGAGTTGCCTTTAACTGAGATGGGGAAGATCAAGGGGGTGGAGAAGGTGGTAGGGTGAAGATCAGGACTCTAGGGTTGGGCGTATTCAGTTTGAGATGTCTGTTAGACAACTAAGTGGAGAGATTGGATAGGCAGTTGGATATCTGAGTCTGGAGTTCAGTGGAGAAGTCTCAGAGAGAGCCATCATTGGAGAGATGATATTTAAACCTTAAGACTGGATGAGATCCCAAGGGAGTTGGTGCAGATAGAGTAAAGAAGGCGTCCAAGTCTGAGCTGGGTGCTACAGCTTTAAGAGGTCAAAGAGATAAGGAGGAACCAGCAAATGAGACTAAGAAGGGACCAGCGAGGCCAAAAGAAAACCAGGAGAGTGATTCCTTTCAAAACGCGAATTAGATCGTGTCATTCCTCTGTTCAAAACACTTCAGTGGCACCCCCGCTTCACTCAGATATGGGGTCAAGGGCCCTACAATGACCTACAAAGCTAGAGGATCTAGCTGCCTGATGCCTCTGTGACCTCCACCCTCACCCTCTCATACACTGCTGCGGCTCCACTGGCCTCCTCACTCTGCCTCAGATTTGCCAGGCCCTCTCCTGCCTCAGGGCCTTTCGCTAGCAATTCCAGCTCCCTGAAATGCTCTCCCCCCAGACGTTCACAGGGCTAATTCCTTCACCTCCTTCAAGTCTGTGCTGAAATGTCACCTTTTTCAATGTGGTCTACTCTCATTTCTCTAATTCTGCAGCTGGCTCCCCCGCCTTCCCCCTCCTGCCGTAACCTATCCCCCTTAGGCGCTCTACTTTTTTCTATACTATTTTATTACCTTCTATATCATTTACATCTTTATTGTGTCTGTTGTATATTGTCTGTCTCCCCCTGCTAGGATGTAGGTGCCACAAGGTCAGAGATCTTTATTTTGTTCACCTCTGTATCTCATGCGCCTGGAACAGTACCTGGCACATAGGGAGAGCTCAGTAAATATTTGTCGAATTAATTTAGCGTGTAGGATCTCAGTCCTACCCTCATAGTCTCCACAGCTGGGTGGGTATCGCAAGAGTGTGCGAAAACACCTACTCCAGCTTACTGGCCAAAGTGCCACAAGCCTGCCCCAGTTGCTCTCAGTTGGAAGGTTTCTGGGCTGGGTGTGGGTCTTCTGCCAGAGGCTGCACTGTGGGCTGTGCTGGACAGAGGGAAGGGGATGGCTCTCCTAAGCACTGTGTGGCACATTTGACACCTGGGCCCTAAAGAAGTTCTACTGGCTGAGTCTCCCAAATGATTCTTTGAGAACCTTAAACCAGACCTTCAGGCCAGGTAGGGTGCCCCCTTCACCATGTCGCCCTTTCCACTCTCCCAGAATCCTTTGCCTAATTCTCCAGGACCGCTGCACCAACCCCTCTCCTTTCAGCCTCAAAAACAAAATGCCCCCCACATATCAACTCATACATATAGAGCCAGGGAGAATCAACTCAGACTGCATTCTAGTTGGCTCAGCAGGGACACCTGGATACATGTAGTTAAGAATCACTGAGGGGCCAGCCCGGTGGCATAGCAGTTAAGTTTGCGCATTCCGCTTCAGTGGCCCGGGGTTCGCCGGTTCAGATCCTGGGCGCGGACCTACTCACCGCTCATCAAGCCATGTTGAGGTGGTGTCCCGCATAGAAGAGCTACACCTCTACAACTATGATACACAACTATGTACTGGAGCTTTGGGGAGAAAAAAAGAAAAAAGAGGAAGATTGGCAACAAATGTTAGCGCAGGGCCAATCTGCCTCAAAAATAAAAGAAAAAAAGAATTATTGAAACCAGTTTTCCAGCCTCTTCATCAGGAAGTGGCCATCACAGCCTCCGTGGGGCTCCACCTGTCTGTTTTCGCCATTACCCAGAAAAGCAGACTGTGAATGGGCAAGCCCAGTTCCAGTTTGCTCAGCCTGTGTGCACACGTGATTTTCGACATTTTCTGGGGCATGCTGCATCTAATGCTTTTATCTCATTTGTTAAAGATTTCTGTTATCTCCGAAAGGAGCTTCAGAGACTGTTATCAAGTGGCCTCAAAGGCTACTCCTCAGACAGGAAGAGCCTTGTGAGAACAGGGAGTTGGGAATTAGATGAGAGAAGAGAGGCCTTTCTTCCTGCTGTCTTGCTGTGGGACTCCTTGTTGTCACTGAGGGAGGGAGGGGGCATGAGCAGAATGGAAGGGCTGGGCAAAAGAATGCTTTGAAATGCTGTCTTTTCCCAGGAGGTTTGAGCTTTGTGCCTAAGACATTTTTATATATGGAGGCCTTGTCATAGAGCACGGCTCTCAGTTCTAGTCACTGAGAGCCCAGGAAAGGGGAGAATATAACGTGGCATTTCAGCAGAGGACATGATAAAGGAAGACGGGATTGATTATCTGAGTCTCGTTCATCCCAGCCCTTGAAGAAAGGGGAGGGGACGGTTTGTGGGGGGAGACTTCAGACCAGTCTAGATGGGCTTCCAGAACTTGTGCAGGGACAGCTGGGTGATAGGAGTCACGCTCCTGGTCTCTGACCTACAGCTTCTTCTTAAACTTATTTATTTATATATTTAACACCTTTTGTACAGAGTACCTGGTAGGATCCTGGCTCTCTGAACTGGTACTGGCCAAACAGCAATGAATGAGACAAAGCCCCTGCTCTCAAGCAGATCACAGTGCCCTGGTGTCCTCTAGGGCTGCACATTAAGAATCTGCAGCCTCTCACAGTCGCTGCCGAAGGCAGCTTTGCCCATCTGGCGAGTATTTCCTTTGCCACATGGATTGTGAACTCCTTGGGGCCGGAGCTCTGCCACAGTCATCTCTCTGTCTCCTGTGCCTGATGCACTGTCTGGCATGCAGTGGATGTTCAGAATGAATGAATGAATATGCCTGTCAGGAATTCTTAGTAACTGAAATATACACAATGGAGGCAAACAGTGGACTGGATATCCTGCTCCCGGGCGGCCGGTCTGGTAAATGTTATCCTTCCTAGAGGTTAACAGTAGGTCTTTCCCTTTCTTCTTTCCTTTTGGAAACAGCACCAGTGGTTCTGACAGCTCCTTCTCAGAGGGTCTCCCTGCTCACCTGCTGAACATAGCACATGAGGTGAGAATGTATGTAGACTCTTACCCAGGAAGTAGCAGCTTTGAAAGAAGCACTCCTGCATAATTTGGTGGAATTTTCCAACTGTCCTGTGATCTGCAGAAAATATAACAGTAGCATCCTAACTGGTTCCCCTGCCCTGGGGGACTTTCATTTTGTCCTTTATTACTTTTTAAAATCTAAGGGAAAAAATCTGAGGACTCCATATTTATTCCAAAGTTAACTAAAAGTGAAAAAAAAAGTTTAACCAAAAGTGAAAACTATGTTAAAAGAGAGAGGTTGTTAAAAATGACCCATGTATTAAGTAATTTTTTTACCTCATCTGTTCTCAGACTTTTTCTTGCATAGATGCTATAAGAGCTTTAGAAACAACAAAATATTTGTTGTGGTTCATTATGCACATGATTTCCTAGTTGCGTCAAGATATATCTCCATCAGAGGGCGAGATTAAGGCTGTGTTAGGCGGAGCCAGGCGGATCAGACTGGACCCTACAATTTCTTCAGCTGGATTTACAGCAACATCAGTATAAGTTTCACCACTTCATGGGTACCTGGAAAATTAGTCCTGAGCTTCACTCACTTAATTATTAAAGCCACCTTGTGGTAACAACCAAACTAAATCTTTTAACCACACATCTAATAATCAGCATTATCTGTACCTGACATTATTGCCATAGTAATCTGTTTCATATTGTAAATCATAGATATTTGGTAATTGGTATAAGCGCCCCTCTGGCTGTGTATCTGTGATAGTGGGATTTGGCGTGTTAAATGGGGAGCAGCCTCTGGTAAGGAGGTAACTGAACTGTTTGTTCCTTCTCTAAACCAACAACAATTCAACACCGTGAAGGGTGCATACTGGGCTAGCCATGGTGTCTTGAGTGTTGTGTGAAAAGAGTGCCACGTATGGGTGATGTAGCTCTGGAATCTTCAATGACCAGTTTCTCTGTACTTTCTGGAATAGTTGAATCAGAAGAAGATGCATAAGAAGAAAAAAAAGAAGCCACTTCAGACTAGGAAACAGCGAAATGAGCAGTATCAGAAAAATAATTTGATGCGGGAGTTGAAGTTAACAGAAGATGCTCCAGTAAGAAAACTCTGCTCCTACTTCTACTGTCTGGTTAGAGAGTGTTCCATGGAGGGCGCAGGACGGGGGTTAAGCTTTCCCCTAAACCAGAAAGGGAGCGGGGAATGGGACGGGGGAAGCTCTCTGTTTTGAATTCAGAGCCTTCCATGGGTCCTCTGGACATCTCAGCAGATTTCAGCGTTGGCCCACAATCCTGTGCTATGGTCTGGCCCAGCAGTCTGGGTCTTGACCGAGTCTGGATTTCCAGGGGAAAGAAGTGGTTCTGGAAAAGTGGTGGCTGAGGAATCAGGTGTGGTCTGGGCTAGGGGCACCTGGATAGTGCCTTCCCCTTCTTTCTCCTGGCTGCCACACCCACAGTACAGCCCCTGCTTTCTAAAAATGAAAATGCTTTCCAAGATGGGAGTTTTACTGCTGGGCAAATTGGGTCAATTATGGGTGGATCAGTTGCAATGGAGCAATTGAAAAATATTCTCTTTGCATTAAATCCTTTTAGGAAAGGGCAGGGTTTGCTTCTACTCTGCCAAAACAGCCTACCTTTTTCAAAAATTCAGAGAATACCAGTTCTTCAACAATGAAAAATGAAAAACCAAGGTTGAATGAGGTAGTTATTTTGCTTGACTTTTTTTTTTTTTTAACTCATGGAAAATTGATTAAAACTGTTTTTTGTAATATATGTAAAGTGTACAATGTGATGATTTGATGTATATATTTTTGTATATATATATAGTGAAAGGATTCCCACCATTGAGTTAATTAACACATCCATCACTTCACATATTTACTTTTTTTTTTGGTGAGAACATTCAAGTTCTACTATCTTGGCAAATTTCAATTATACAGCATGGTTCAACTATAGTCATCATGTTTTACATTAGATCCTCAGACCTTATTCATCTTATAGCTGAAAGTTTGTACCCTTTACCATCCTTTACCTGGGTCCCCCACCCTCCAGGCCCTGACAGCCACTTTTCTACTCTGTTGCTTTTTTTTTT